TACTTATAATAGTAGTTAATTGTTAGACTTCTAATTTATCTATTAAATTAGTTAATTGTTACATTTCTCTACATTTCTCTACATTTCTCTTTAAAGAAAAAAATAGTTAAAGTAGTATATTTTTACATTTGTCATATTTCAATTAGTTAAAGTACTTAATTGTTTCATTTGTCATATTAAAATTAGTTATTTCATACATTGCTCATTAAAGTAAAAAAAAAAAACTAGTTAAGTTTTACATTTGTCATAATAATATTAGTTAAACTACTTAATTGGTACATTTCTCATATTAATATTAGTTACTTGCTACATTTCTCATTAAAGTAAAAAAAGTAGTACATTTTTACATTTGTCATATTAATATTAGTTAAAGTATACATTTCTCATTAAGGTAAAAATAACTAGTAAATTTTTACATTTGTCATTTTAAAAACTACCTAAAGTAGTTAATTGTTAAATTTGTCATATTAATATTAGTTAAACTACCTAATTTTTTTACTTTAATGAGCAATGTACAAATTAACTACTATTAATATGAGAAATTTAACAATTAACTAGTTAATTTTTACATTTATCATATTTATATTAGTCAAACTAGTTAATATTTAGTTAATTGATACATTTCTCATTAAAGTATTAATTAGAAGTAGTTCGAGTTTTATACTCATATTTTAGTTCGAATTTGCAATAGTTTTCTTAGTCACATTTTATTATTACTATTGTACTCATATAAAATATTTGATATCATTTAATATTTGTTCAATTTTAAAGATGGAACGTGGTAGACATTCTGTAGATGTGGGTAATCTCCAACGCAACCGCAAGAGGGAGATTGCGTCGACTCGTCCTACTTCACGCAAAGGCAAAGGTAAAGTGCGGGCCGAGTCTTCTTTTCAAAGTCGAGATGATTTTGAAACGGATTACCAACGGAGAGATGATATGATGATGTCCGACGAGCATCTACAAAACCTATTGTCCCAAAACGATCCACGCTTTGCACAAGAACAACCCATCCCGACAATCATTGATGAAGAGGAGCTCGAGGATGACGATGCGGAGGAGGACGCGGGGGGCGACGGGACTCACGGCACCCCGGATGATGAGCAAGACTTGGAGGACGAGGGCGGTTCAACCCAAACTGGTAAGAAATCTAAATCTCCTATTATTGAAAACAATTTTACAAAAAGGAAAGACAAAAATATCGAAAAATGGTACGCAAGTTGCAATCATTGCGGCAAAGATTATAGCTTGGAAACTTCTGGCGGATACGGGAGTCTCACAAGGCATCTTAAGTCCGCCCATCTTGTGGAGTATGCGAAAATAAACAAGGGCAGGGGGAAGCAAACACAAATATCGAGGTTTGCAAATTCTCAACCCTTTGGTAATTTCTCCTATGATGATCAAAAACATTTGACTGGTATGTCTCATTTAATTGTTGAAGAAAATTTACCCTATATTTTTTCCGAAAGTCTTGCTTTAAGAGATTATGCTCAAGGCACTTTAAATCCTCAATTTAGAAATTATAGTCGCAAAACGATTAAAAAAGAAGTTATAAGGCAATATAACTTCGAAAAAGAAAATTTACAAACATTTTTCGCAAACTTTAATGGACGTGTTAGTATTTGTAGCGATATATGGGAGGATACTTATCATCATTTATATTATTTGGGTCTTACTGCACATTATATTGATGATGATTGAAATATGCATAAACGTGTTCTTGCTTTTCGTGAATTCAATGATCGTCATACTGCTGATAATATTTATATTCTCATTGAGCGTATTTTAATTGAGTATAATTTGCTTGATAAGGTGTTTGCTGTAGGTTTTGATAATGCTGGTAATAATACTGCTGCTATACCTAGATTGCGTGAATTGTGTGGTGCTTCTACATTGATGGGCACGTTTTTTCATCAACGTTGTGCATGTCATATTCTAAATTTGTGTGTACAAGATGGGTTAGCAGCATTAGGAAATGCTTTGGAAGTAGTGAAGGGGGGAATTAAATTGATTTGGGCTAACACTCCACTAAAAATGCAATGGCGGCAATATTTGAAGGAAAGACGTGTCAATTATTGTGTTTTTCCTAAAGATTTGTCTATTCGTTGGAATAGTACTTATAACTTAATTCAAGTACTTATTAGATATAAAGATCATTTTCCTGCTTTTTTAAGGCAAACTTGTAACTATATTATAAACCCGGCTGACATCGACACTTGTGAAAAAATTGTTAATGTTTTGGTATATTTTAATAACGCAACTCAAACTTTTAGTCATGTTTATAAACCTACCGCAAACGAATTTTTTGTTGAAGTTGTTAATCTCGCCGGCGCATTTTTAGAATTTTCCGATGCCGCTTACGTTAGTTATTTTTGTGATTTCATGAAACAAAGATTTTTAAAATATTATTCACATGTTCCGCATATATATGGTATTGTATTTGTTCTTGATCCTCGTTATAGACTTTGCCTAGGCCTGGACTCGGGCCGAGCGGCCCGGCCCGGCCACTGTAGCAACCGGCCCGGCCCGGTGGCCCGGTCCACCGGCGGTTCGGGTCGAACCGGCCCGGTGGTTCCCGGTTCCGGGCCCGAGCCTTCCATATGGTGAACCGGCCCGGCTGGTTCGGGCCCGGTCCAGGCCGGATTTTAATTTTTTTTTTTTTTTGAAAAATTTTTTAAATCTTGGGTTGGAATAGGTATTTTGGGCCATTTGAGGTGGTTTGGGGTGGTTTGGGGTTGAGGGGGAGGGGTAGGGGATTAAATAGGAGAACAAAAAAACAAAAACAAAAAATTGGGCCGGTTAGGCCCGGCCCGACCCGGTTTGGCCCGGAACCGGAACCGGAACCGGCCACCGGCGGTTCGGGCCCGGGCCTCCCCTTTCCTGGCCCGAGGCCCGGCCGGGCCCAGGCCCGAACCGGGCCCGAACCGGCCCGAGTCCAGGACTAGACTTGTCGCGTTGCCAACTTTTATAGATTACTATTATAATTGTTTTTTTCCAACTCAAGAGTTCGATGATAATCCCATCGACCCTAAACAAGAATACAACGAGGTTAGTAATTTATTTCATCAATTGTATAATGAATTTTATGCACAATATGGTAATGCACCCCCTCCCATGCCGCGAACATCTTCTTCATCTAAAGGAAAATCACTTTTAAAATCTGCATATGATTCTCTTATGAAAAAAAGTAGAGCAACTCCCGCTACTGAACAAAGCTCAGTTAACGAGCTTTCTTTGTATCTAACATTGAATGTTGATTATGAAGTTAGGGATGATTTTGACGTTCTTAAGTGGTGGAAGGACAATGAAAGAACGTTCCCGGTTTTATCAAAACTGGCTAAGCAAGTGCTAGCAATGCCGATATCACCAGTTGCCGTGGAACAAGAATTTAGTGCGGCCGGCAACGTCCTAACTGATTATAGAACGAGGTTGAGCCCGAGCTCTCTTGAGACGCTAGTTTGCTTCCATGATTGGTTGAAGGCCAAACGAAGAACTCAAGAAATGACCATCGCTCCCACCCGCCACTTTATGGAGGAAACAACCACCGAAGGCGGAGATTCCGATTGATTTTTTATTTCAAAATGTATTACATATTTTAAATGCATCCTAATTCTCAATTGTACTTCTTATTTGAAATAAATATACTTGAATTATTTTATATTATTGTGTACATCAATTCAATAATTCAATTCAATAAAATTCATTTGTAAACTTGTACTTCATATGTAGCACTTCTCAAATTAATTAATTGGTTACAATTTTACAAACTTATAACTTACAACTTGAAATTATTTTTGTAAAATCTAAAGGCTGTTTTTAAATTAAAATATGTAATATTAATATGTAAATTAATTAATTTGTTACAAACTTACAAGTTACAACTTATACAACTATTTTGTAACATTTGTAAATTATAAATCAAATCACTTTTCTAAGTAAAAATAGTTTTACTTAATTAAAAAATTAAAAACATTTTCCTTACACAATATGTATAATTTTCTAAATCATATCACTTTCCTTACACTTTTCTAAATCAAATCACTTTTCTAAGTAAATTATACACAATATGTATAATTTAAAAAAAAAAACATTAAAAGGACCGACCCGAACCACGCGGGCGGCCCGGCCCGAACCGGACCCGGGGTTACCCGGGCCGGTTCCGGGCCTCCCAAACCGTGAACCGAGGCCCGGGCGGTTCAAGGCCCGAACCGAGTCCATCCCTATATACATGGAGAAGGAAATACTTGCTAAAGTTGACAATGAAACAATTTTGCAACGTTTTCAACATATGCAGACACGCCGCACACAATTGTCTCAATTGGTTTCTTCTTCTAACAATTAATTGTAGTGTAATGTACTCTTCCCACAATTTTTATATTCGGTAAACTTTAATCACAATTTATATTTTTGCATTTTATAATTTTTTTAGACAGCCGTTACTTTTTGTTTTGGTTCCACCCCCTATTCCTTCCTCGCATACTCCTTGTAAACTACTTATTTCATCTTTATCTTCTTCATTCTTTCAGAGCTTTTCCATATTTTTTTGATAAATGTTCCTACATGCTAGTATCCCTAACAAGATGCATCATTTGAAACGGTTAAGCAAATGTCACTAAGGATGTTTTTACTGTTTCAAGTCCCAGACCAGACTTTCATAGTTATAAAATACACAACGACCAAACATTTACAAGACCAGGCCAGAGCCATTCAGACCAAACCCGACTTAAACATATCAAAACAGACCAGCAAATTTCAATCTAAGTAAAAACATCCTAACAAATTTGTTTAGATAAAGGACTGCAAGCAGAGTCACTAACCCGTTATAACCTTATAAAACTAGGATGGAGTCGCTAATTGGTTATAGGATTGGGGCCGGGGTCACTAATTTTCGAGTCACTGAGAAGCTTTGAGAAGGAAGGATATTAAGGATGTTTTTACTTGGGCTATTTTCATTTCCAGATCGGACTTAAACAAACCAGACTTAAACAAACCAGACCAGACTTGACTTCCGCAATTATAAAATATAAAGAGACCAAACGTTTACCAAACCAGACCAGACAAGTTCAGACCAGATTTAAACAAACCAGATCAGGTCAACAAATTACAGTCCTAGTAATAACATCATAACTACTTGTAAGACGTTAAGTAAACAAGGATCCGTAAACAAGGATCCGTCAGGTGTAGTCACTAGGCATGACCCAATCACTTTCAGCTACTCCTGATTCCTGATTTATTACTTTCAATTACACAATCTTTCACTTTTTTTGCATGGAATGGTTGGTGACATCCATTCATTCATGGTAGTTACCTTATTGTAAACACACGTGGACAGTACATTAGTCATATTACTCGAAAAAATGATTTTTACTCGGCGTTTTTCTCTTTCAACCTCTATTTAATAGTTTACATTTAAAAAAAACACCTTGTTTAATTATTAGAATTATAAAAGAAAAAACAAAAATGGCCTTTCAACATCAGGGACCATTTTATTTGGTTACATCATCATTTCAACCAAGATTATTATCAATAGTAGTAAACTCTAATTAAGAACGACCTTTATCCATACGGTTATGACCTGTTCCATTCAGATATTCTACAGCTGAGCAGGCTGCAGCTTGCTGGGAGTGTCGGTGGTGTCACCGCAAGTCGGCTGAGCAGGCTGCAGCTTGCTGGGTGTGTCGGTGATGTCACCACAAGTGGGCTGAGCAGGCGGTGTACCAAGGGCACCAGCCTCTTTTAGCATTGTCAAAAGCTCCCCCTTCCTGTGTTTCTCCACCATTGCTTCGGTTTTTAATGTACATAAAAAGATACAGCAAAACAAATGTATCACTTCACCACACATAAGTCCTCCATAAATTGAGATTTAATTTGGTTTATCTTTCAATAGATTCGAACAGGAATACTTAAAACTTATTACCCCTCGTTCTTAAACAAGTGCCCAAAAAAATAGTAAATCAGTTCTGTATTGTCAGGATACACCTATTAAATTTTACTTTGGCCACGTGCTACTCTTACAGATTTATTGAGCATTTGAGCCCTACCTTATATTATCATATTGGATGTATTTGTAACTTTTCTTTGCCATCTACATGAAAACTCTCTTAAGGAAAAAGTCTCCTAAGCGATAAGGCGCCGGCCTAGGAGACAACTAGGCGACTAGTCACTTATATTACTCCCTCCGTCCCATTGGACTTTGTCAAGTTTACTTTTTTGGTTGTCCCAAAAAACTTTGCCATTTTCCCATTAAAGTAACTATTTTGTGGTTCTACTCATTTCTCTTTCCTCTGCACAATCTTCAACCACACAATTTTTACTATTCTTATTTCTCACCTAACTCATTTAGTGCAAAGTCCATCGGGACGGAGGTAGTATATTATATATATATAATATAATTATATATGTATATATATACATTATGTATAATGTATTACTAACTAAATTGTATATAACTTGGAATTGAAACTCACAATTAATAATTGAAAACAAGGTTTTTTAACTACATCATCTCTACCTCCTTCAAAAATATGGACACTTGGACATTAAAGGTAACCCATTCATTAATATGTCTCTGTAATAAATTAGAAAATAATTCTTTTCATAAATTTATAGAGAAAAGGGTCAAATAAGGTCTTTTACTATTATGAAATAGTCACATAAGATCATGTACTCAATAAAGTGTCATATAAGTACCTCTACTTGTAAAAAACAATCAAATGAGTCCTAACGATCTATTTACAACCTCCTAATCCCGGTTTTAGCTTACATGTCGATTTTTTTGACTTGTATTTCAACCAATCTTAGTTAAATATTCGACGTATGCCGTATAATATATTCTAAAAAGATGGTCACAAGTACGCTAAAACCGGGATTAAGAGGTGTTAAATAAGTCATTAGGGCCTATTTGATTGCTTTTTACAAGTAGAGGTACTTATATGACACTTTATTGAGTACGTGGCCTTATTTGACTATTTCATAATAGTAGAAGGCCTTATTTGACCCTTTTCTCTAAATTTATATATTGACTGATAAAGAATAAGAAAAGATGATGAACTTAAAACAAAATAATTAAGTAATATGGACAATATTAATTTGTGTAAAAAGGAAATAATATTAAATAATGACACTTTTTTCCAAAAATCATAATATTAAATAATAAATAATGAACTGATGACTCAGCAACTCAATATGCTTCATAGGAGCACACATGTATGTGACTATATGCGAATAATATATATATATATATATATCCACACACACAAATAGGGGAGGGTTCTAGTGAAAACCCCTCTTAGAATGAGAACCCTTTTTAAAATGAGAACTTTTGATCTCCATCATTCAATTTTACAATCAATGGCTAATAATGACAATGTGGCATTTTTGTAATTATTCAGGATTAATTGCAAAAAAGTCCCATTTGAATTTAGAGTAATTATGAATGTGACCCCATGTGAATCATAACCAATGATTGCAATAAATGAAAGGTAGAGATTCAAAGTTCTCATTTTAAAGAGTTCCCATTCTAAAAGGGGTTCTCACTAAAACCCTCCCCTATATACATATATTGATGGGAAAATCGCATATGTGGTCCCTCAATTATCCACGAAATTAAAATCTCAGACCTACATTTTTTATATTGTAAATGTCACCGCTCAATTGTCCAAATTGTTGTAAATGCGGTTCTTTAAGTAGTGAAATGTGCTCTCGTCCACATTGTATATTTCACCCCTCAAAAGGAATACATTTACAGCATTTTGGACAATTGATGGGTGACATTTACAATCTCAGAAATACAGGTCTGAGATTTTAATTTCGTGGCTAATTGAGGGACCATATATGCGATTTTCTCTATATTGAATTATTGATATCTATTTAATTAAGTATAACTATAAAACCTAATTAAAAATACTAAAAAACCTAAACAACTAAGACGATGAGACGAGAAGAGAGTAAAACAGGGCAAAGAGGGCGAAACTGCTTCTTCCTGGAATAGTTCGTCTGCTTCCTGCGGCAAGTCTTTTACGGCGATGGCCAACGAATACATCGAAGACTTCGTATTTCGTAAGTTTATTACGGAGTAGATTATTTTGGGGCTTTGGAGATTGGTCTCTATTGTTAATTAATAATTAAATTAGTTTCCCAAATTAAAGCCTAAATTTATTTTATTTCTGGGTAATCTGGGATTCTGGGCTTCGTCCTGTTCGACTTGGGAAAAAGGCGCTACTTGTCGTCATCTTCGCGCCTAGACGACGACTACCACGCTTTTTCTTCTTCCGGTAATGCGAGTAACTATGGCGAGCTGTCCCTAATGCCAGGACGCCTAGTCGGCGATGCCGTGACAAGCTAGGGAAGGACAAAAAATAGATTTCCGAAGAGGGCATTTTTGGGGTGGCGTGAGTAGCGCCATTTAAGCTGATAATAATTTATTGATTTTGTAACAAGCTATCCAACATACCTCCCGTTAATTCTAGGTATTAATAGGACACAATCAAAAGCAAAAATGAATGAGGGACAAAGTAGTCATTTCACTATGAATTGTGCATTGGAGAAGAGGACCACCACATATACATGAACAAAACAAAATGTGCTCTACCTTGGGACACTTCGCCAATGTTTTCCTTTGCTTAAAAAATGTTTCCTTTTTCTCTTTAAAAAATATAAATTTCAAACCGATACTTCTCCTTAAATTAAGCATAAAAGAAGCTCTAAGTAAGAGGAGTGCTTAAACAGTTAAACTTGACTTTCATTTTTTCTAATACACTTAAAACATTTGTTCACCAAACACTTTTAGATTGTACTTTTCAAAAAGCACTTTTGTTTTCAAAGTAAGGGCGTGTTTGGAACTGATTTTGCTTCTGCTTCTTTTTTAAAGCAAAAGCAGAATCATTTTTGGTCTCCCCAAGCTTCTAAAAAAATTGATTCTAGATGTAAATTAGAACACTAGAAGTACCTCTGGACTTTCACCCAAACACTCCAACTAGCTCCCTAAAGGAGCAGAATCAGTTTTAAGAATCAGATCCAAACGCCCCCTAACTTCACAATTTTATCAACTTTTACTACTAACCCGTTTTCCAATAATCACTAAAATAATTCACTGATTAAAAGTAGAAGCAAACTTGGGTCATTTTGGTCAATTTCGGTTTTATCTTATTCACTTTGTTTTTTAAAGGTATTCAGTTTGTTAATCAATGATGATTTATCATTATTTTGTTCAGTGGTTCAGCCCTATAGTAGACAATATATTTTTAATGTTGTTGTGGTTGTTATTTATTATTACTATTACTATTATTAATTAGAAGGTAATAAAGAGACACATTTGAAAGATGAGTGTTGACTGGAATGGAGATTTTGTCGAACAACAATTAAGTTTGCATTATTGTTTGACGTAGAGAGTAATGGGTGGTGAAACAATGTCACATTCAAAAGATGAGTATCGCTAAGATGTGTATGTTGTGTTAGATGTGTGGAGCTATTAAAAAGGACAGCTTGAGGAATGAGACACACACAAAAAGTGAGGAAGCACCTATTGAATATAGGGAAATTGCCTTGAGTAGGACTAAACTAGTTTGTATTCCAAAATAGGACTATCATGCTTGTTGTCCCCCATCGTCGTCATCATCATTATCCCGGTGCCGCAAAGGCTCCCACCAACGGTGGGGTAAGGGGTCGGAGAGATTGTTTCTGAATGACCCATGGTGAAAATCGCGTCGAAAATTGCATGAACTGACGGCTGCTTCATAACAATGAAGCGCAAACAGTTTAGTGAGTCATTTTGCTTTATTCACAAGCCAAAAAATAGTGAATCTTTGGCTCTATTGCAAATTATTCCCTAAATAGGAATAATTATTGTCATGTTTTGGCAGTGCCAGACTTTAAACATATCGGTATTTTCCAAGCTTGACAATAATTACTCTTATTTAGGTAATAAAAACATGGAAGTCCTATTTTGGAATTCTGAAACATTTTTACTCCTATTTCAAAAAAAAATCCCTTAAAATGTGAGAGTCTCTATTGCGGTGATTTGATCATGTGTGTAAAATACCGAGTGATGAACCTATTAGAAGAGTTGAGAAGTGGTGAAAAAGGGCGGGGGGGGGGGGGGTGAGAGGAAGCCCCATATAAACATGGATTCAAGGACTCAACAGCGTGATGTGTTTATGAAAGAAATAAACTAGTCTTGAAAATTATGTGAATCAAAAAAGGATCATGCAAGAACTAATCATAACAAATTCGTTGAATAGGAATAATAAGTATATTAATGAATATGAGAGTTTTAATGTATAAGAATAAGAGCATAGTTGATCAAGTTTTTTCGTGTCCTACAAAGAACATCAACTAGTCTATTTATTCACAGACTTGCTTCTCCGTCTTGTTGTCTAACCATCCGGCGATATTGCCTCCTAATCCTTCGCGCATGGGAGTTCATTGGCTGGCTCTATCTTCTTCTTTCAAAACGGGTCATTCTTATCAATTGACTTGGCCATCCTTTAACCATCTGCATCTGGCTACCACATGTCTTCTCAAAAAACTTGGCCTGATCTCCTTTTTTGATTTGTTAAATGCCATTCTGGCCCAACACCAAGCAATTCTAGGGGCCAACAATTGCCCTCATTCATGGTGATGAGGATCGATGTGCAGGAAACGAGAGTACGAGACTGTCATCATGAATTTAAATGGCCATTACTCCTTGAACATCGCATCTTTCTGCCACTATCTTGCCTATTGAACCGTCCCCCTTCGTTATTTCGAATTTATTTGTACCTCTTTGTTATCATCTTCCTCTTCCGCTATGGCAGCAGGCAGCCACCAAAACTTTCTCCTACGAAGATATTAGATCCAAAGAAATCTAGACCTGTTGCCCTATCGATAAGGGAAATCACCGCTATTCAGTCATCGTTTGGTTTTCCTGAAGTGACGTGAATCCACTTTCCCAAATAAGACAAAAAGGTCGATGGGTACTGCCCTAGTTGGGTTAGCTTCTTTGCCTACCCTTTCAAGATTGGGATGTTATCCCCTTTTTCTCCACTGGTCCAGGGATCCCTCGCAATCGTCATGATGCCCCCGGGCTCAAATGATGCCCCAAACATGGCGAATTCTCAAAGATAATGAAGTGTTAAGCGAGAAGTTCAACATCCCCTTTGAAGCGTCGGATATTGGTTACACCTACGATTTACGCACATCTAGGATCGGTCGCTACACCCTGACTGCCAAGGACAACCGTGAAGCCATCGTATCAGGTGTCGACAAGGTCAACGACCGTGGATGGCAGACCAAGCTCTTCTTTGTCCAGAGATCTTCCCTGCATCCTGATGGTTCATTTCTTGAAGACGCTTGGCTAAATGGTAACCACTTCATTCTGTATGTATATTGATGTGTCTTAGTTTAATGGTTGAGGCTGTCGTACAGCGTCTGTTTTTGCCCCTATTGTTGTCAGCGTCTGTCGATTTTAGGTGATAAAGGCCCGATGTCTCTACGACAAGGGCTGGAGGCTGAGGAACGGACCAGGAGGATGCTTGTTATTGGCATGCAGGACGGATTGTACCCCTCTTGATACCCAGGTAAGCCTCTTTCCAAATCTTTTGTGGTCCGGCACTGGTCAGGACTAAATGGCCACAAAGCCGGAGACGATCTCTTCGTAACGTCTGTCAAACTTTTAAACTGAACCAAGGTCCTGCATTTATCTTGTTAGAAAACTCATCCAAAGGAATTGACGGCGGTGACGAGAATAGCAAGAGGGTAGTAGCTCTCCTGGCCATTTGCTCTGTAAAGCTGCTCTTCCTCCTCCTCCTAACACCCGAGTCACAAGATCAACTGCTGCTTCGTCTGGTACTTACTTCCTTCGTTTTCCATACATTTTAAATTTTCATTTGCTTTGGTTTACTTACTTATATATCCTTCATTATCTCTGGTTTTAGCTGCAACGTCTTTTACTAGAGTATGTAAGGCACTGGCCCCTGAAGAACTACTGAAAGCAGCATCGAAAAGGAAGCCACTTATCCTGTTCAGCACCTGCATCCCAAGATGGCCAAGCATACGCCTTGCAAGAATCTTCTCCCTTGTTCCAATTCCAGCCAGATCTCCTTCCGTTGCTTTGAATCTCTCATATTCTAGCGAATTTTGTCGCCTGGAGAACGCATTGGTTATGAGGAAAGAGATTTCCCAACTGCTTCTGCCCTAATGATTTGTTTATGGCCTCCTCTCCCTTTGCTTTCCAAGTAGACGCCGTGATTTCTTACTATAATTTGTGAATTTATTGGCTTGATCTTGGCGGAACCGTCGTGCCTGGAACTCCGGTAACAAATTGTCAAAAATATTTTGTCTGGGTTCTGGACAGAGGATGATGGGTTGGATGGTCCTGGATTTCCAAAGATCCTGGTATTGGATTGAGGAATGAACAGCTCTGATGGGGCTGAAATGACAGTCGACATCGGCATGCTCTAGGGTGAAAGAGTATAAAGTATAAACCCGTCAACCTGGGTCTGTCTTGCAACGATTCCGGGAAGAAACAAGTCGGAATGTTGGGAGTAGGTGTCACTTCTGGAATAAGAGGTATATAGGGTATAACCTAGGAGATGACAGTGGATTGCGGTTGGTTGGATGGCGAGACGCCTAGTGTCAAGGACATGGGCTCTGTGGTACTAGACAGAGGTTCTGGGTGAAGCCTAAGTCCAACCTTGTCGCCACAGTCATGGCGTCGCTTCTTCGGTTAAACCTTGAAGTGGAAGCTATGGACGCCACATATTGGACTTGAGATCGCAGCAAATCATTCTCTCGGTGGATACATGCGATTCTTTGAGCCGTCTCCCGCTGGATCTCTTCCTTTGCGGTCTCGAGCTGCTCATGGAATTCTATCAACAATGAATTGCTAATTCTGGCCATAATCAGTCTTTCTCTTGCACGATGCCCCACGGTAGGCGCCAAATTGTTTATGCAAGAAATAAACTAGTCTAGAAAATTATGCGAATGGAAAAGGGATCTGCAAGAACTAATCATAACAAATTCATTGAATAGGAATAACAAGTATATTAATGAATATGAGAGTTTTAATGTATAAGAATAAGTGCGTAGTTGATCGAGTTTTTTCGTGTCCTACAAAGAACATCAACTGGTCTATTTATACACAAACTTGCTTCTCCGTCTTGTTGTTTAACCGTCCGGCGATATTGCCTCCTAATCCTTCACGCATGGGAGTCGTAGGGCGCCTCTATCTTCTTCTATCAAAATGGGTCATTATTATCAATTGACTTGGCCATCCTTTATCCATCCGCATCGGGCTACCGCATGTCTTCTCCAAAGACTTGGGCTGATCTCCTTCTTTGATTTGTTAAATAGTTTTCTGGCCCAACAATATGCTACTTTTTGGGTTGGATGAGAGTGACTTTGAAGAGGGCGGAGAAGAGGCGGCATATTCGAACGGAGGATTGATCTCATTACATCTTTTCTATCTCTTTTTCTTTTTTTCTTTCCTATGTTCTTTATCTTTTTACTTTTTTTACCTTTAACTTCATCTAATCTTTTTTATATTTTTATCTTTCTTTTTATCTTATCTTGCCTTTTTTATATCTTTTTAGCTCTGATTTCATATGTTCTTTCATGTTAGCTAACCTCAAACTCTTTTGGGACTAAGACTTATACGTTGTTATTGAGAAGACAATAAAACTTGATGTTCAATGCTACAAGTATAGCCAAACAGGTAATGAACTTGGTGTTCAATGCTAATCCAGAATCTAATATACTACCCTCCATACCCGTATTAGGTTCTTGTTCATTAGTCATCTGGTTAACTTTAATTGTTCTTAATATTTTACTTTATATATCAAACTTATATCAAATTTGAGTTTTTTGCGACTTCATAAAACTTTTTATGTAGTTTCTGAATATGTAAATTTTATTTATGAAAAATTATCTTATTATTGATCAGGATCAATTAACTTTATGGTCATCGTAAACCAAAACAGGAACCTTAGGTGTGGAAGAAATACTCCTAACGAGCTCTTCAGGAGAACCAGATGGTAAAATGGTGGGTAAATAGGTAAGAGACTCTAAACAAGCTACCGTAATTCATCCAAGGGGATAGACTTGAGAATTTTATCCCATAAGTGAACCGGATAAGAAAGGAGGTAGGTAGCACAATATCTTGCATATTACTCCCTTTATAACAAATAGAAGAAGGGAAAAGTGGTGTACCATCACAGCCCCCTACGTGCTTCCCTGCAATGAAAACGTTTGGCACAGTCCTCTGATCCGTCCACTCAAGTAGCGCATTCTGAACGACAGCCCCATCACCTTCAATCAATCAGCAAAACATAAACTATGAAACTGCTGTAAAGGCTGAAAGAAGATGAGCCTAAAAAGATTATTGTGACTCAAGAATGGGTTAAAGGCCGGGGCATGCATGCATACTTTGTTTGTCAAGCTCAATGACTTCTTTAGCAGCACCAAGCTCCGAAAGAAGGTCCTTCACTCTAGTGCAGAATGAACAATATGTTTTACTGCGTAAAAAGAGGCACCAGTCATTGTCCCTTCTCTTCACTCTTATCACCCTTGTAGCAACACCATCTTAACGCTAAAGGTGAATCACGTTTAGTTTAGACTGTTAAGTGCTGACCTGATGAATATGTTTTTAGCACTCTCAAAACTTTTAGGTGTCTGCTGTCACCCTCAAAACTTTTAGGTGTGTGCTGTCACCCTCAAAATGTTTAGGTGTGTGCTGTCTATTCTTTTTTTAAAAATCACTTTCTTTAGTACATACTCGATTCACCAGATGCGATATTATAAACACATTAAGAAAAAAATAGAGTAAGATCCGGAAATGTTTACACTAGGGCCTAGGCTGCCACAGAAAACACATTAAGAACAGAACCCAGTAAACTGTTCGTCCGATGTTGGGGGTCCTCGGGGATAGGGTGTCATCCTTTTAAGAACAGAAAGACCGACCCAGACAGCATTAAATATTCAAGCCGGACCACATTTTTTCCACGCAAAGAGAAGAGGTACTTAGTTCAACGTACGTGTCGCACAAATAGCCTACCCAAACAAAAATGTGAGACTTAAATTTCAACCCTTTGTTTTGTCTTGCAATATAACCCCTACGTTAAAAAAAAGTCAAATTAATTATGAATATAGAATTAAATAAGAACCCTAATGGAAATTAAGACAAATATGTGATGCCTGCTTTTATATTTTTGATTGATTGATTTGCCAAACATGTATGATTGCAAAAATGTAGGCCCTCATTTGGCGCAACTTTGTGTAGGCTTGAAGTTTTCCTAAAGTTTTGACCAAATATGAAATTCATTAGTCAATTTTAACTGCATTGGTATGACAGACCTATAAAGTTGAAGCAAACTTTGAAGTTTGAACAAAATAGGTTTTGAAGTACTAGATTGCAAAAAAAAGGAGTTCTCTTTTTTCTGGTATTCTGATCACCGGACAGCGTAATATATCAGTGAATCTGATGGGAAACATTGATTGAGGGATATCTGGTATTTAGACTTTGTAATTAATTACGATTACTTTATTCATCAATAGTAATAAGAAGAGAATCTAAGTCCGGGAAAAAGATTAAATGGTTGAATTTCGTAGTCACTGGGCTCAATCGGAAGGTACTCTTATTGTTAATTAACAAGAAAACCCTAATTTATGATTGCGCAACTGAAATCGAGTAGGTGAGAACCACAAATAGAAGCATGTACAACTACAGATCACCTGGGCCAATTTGGAACTATAAAAGAAGGTCATAGAAAAAACTATGAAGCACAAGAAGGTCAGGAAATGAAGATTTGAAGGTAAAACAAAACAAAACAAAACAAAACAAAACAAAACAAAAGAGGGGAAATAATGCAAATTGAAGTTTCGACCTGAACACGACTACGGGGTGGGAAGAAACCATATGTTTGACTTTGTAAAGAGCCTTCTCCATCTCTTCTTTGCTCGCCATCTTGTTGTTCATACTCAGCAGCGATCCCATCCGGGCGGCCCCTTTTATCTTGTGTGCATAAGCCGAATACAAAAAAATGAGAGTGTTTGGAAGTGATTCCAATTTGCTACCCCAACTTCTAAAAAAGCTGATTATTTTGCACTTTTAACCAAACAATCCAGCTTCTATTTTGCTTCCTGGATGAGTAGACTCAGTTTTAAGAATCAGATCCAACACCCCCCTGAACTTTAGTTCTTTGGTTCGATTTTGGGTTTTACGGTTTTACCTTTCAATACCTAAATAATTGAATAAACTGAACTAATTAAAATATGGATTTTTTTATTTGTTAATTATTTAGCATATATTAATCCTAATCCATCCTAATATCGCTGATAGTCTCTGATTTCTTGTGCTAAAATATTACTTTTTATGTTTTGCTTAGCTTATAAATGCATTTACACATTCATTACCTATAATATAGTTATATTGATCTATTGTTATTGTTTTTAATTAGACTTTTGTAGTAATTATGCATATGTAATAACTAGAAAGAATGGCACTAATATCACTTGTACACTTTGGATGGACAAAAATATGACCTGTTTTGACCTGGACAAAAAAGTGACCCGTTAAAATAAAAAAGCCTCCCTTCTCTCTCTAACGCTCCATCTATAGCCCGTCTTCTAAGCTACCCACAATCCTTCGACAATAATTGCAACCTGTAGAGAAGATGGCGACCAGACCCTTGCGACGAAGATGGTGACCAGACCTTGCGCCGAAGATGGAGAACAGACGTCATCCTTCTTCTGCATCGATTCGGTGATGAAGAGTTATGGCGACGTCGGCTACCCCGTTGCTGCAACTCATTCCACTTTCTTCACCGTTAGCTCCATCACTCTCCTCGTCATCACCTCTGCAACTGACCGCCTCCACCACTGCTTCGATTCCTATCTTCGACGTTTTCTTCTATTTTTGGTTACTCACGATCATCGGAAATGACTTGATTAGTTTTCAATAACTGAGATTGGGGATTAGGGGAAAGAGATTAGCGTTTGGTTTTTGTTAATTGGGATTAGGAGGATGATTCTGCAATTGACATTGTTTGCTGAAGTTTACAATTGAGATGGTTGGTTTGGAGGAGATGTTGAAGGAGGGGCTGGAATGGAAGGGTTTGTGGCAGGGCTACGGAAGAGAATGGGCGGAGATTGCTGGGGAGGGGGTTTTGGGGCTGGGGAGGGACTGGTAGGCTAGGGAGCAGGCTGGTATGCTGGGGAGGGGGTTGGTGTGATAAGGAGGGGGCTGGTGGAATAGGGTGGGGGCTGGTGGGATGGGGAGGGGGGCCGGTAGGCTATAGAGGGGGGGGGCTGGTATGCTAGTGAGGGTGCTGGTGGGATAGGGAGGGGGCTGGTATGTCGGGGAGGGGGACTAGTGGATAGGAAGGGGCTGGTGGGCTGGGGAGGGGGCTGGTAGGCTGGGGAGGAGGCTGGTAGGCTAGGGAGGGGAGTCAGTATGCTGGGGAGGGGCTGGTGAGTTAGGGAGGGGGCTGGCGGGCTAGGGAGGGGGCTTGAGGGTTGGGGAGGGGGCAGGTATGGGGGTTGGGGAGGAGGCGACAATTGCGGTGTCGTTGGTGTGGCGACGAAATTTACGTTTTCGGCAATCATAGTGACATCGGCGGCGGCAATGACACCGGAGGTGAAGATGTCACAGCGGAGGTGTCACTGTGGTCAGAGGCTGGGGCGGAGATGGTTAGCGACACAGTGACACGTTTGACGGCCGCAAAGTCACACGTTTGACGGCGGCACAATGACACGTTTGATGGCGGCAAAGTGACACGTTTGACAGCGGCAAAGTTACACGAGGTCAGCACAGAGACACATTTGACGGCGGCAAAGTGACACGTTTGACGGTGGCATGGTGACACGTTTGACGGAGGAAGAGACATATTAAAGTGACATGAAAACCGACAGTGACATAAAACCAATGACATAAAAAACTAACAGTGACATAAATATCTGGCAGAACTATATTTTTCCAAGTATATGACCTCTTTTGTCACATTTTTGTCCTTTTGTAAAAGTGGTCACATTTTTGGAAGTTGGCTCTAAATTTGTAAGTCATGTTGATGGAGTATATGGCCCGGGAACCCCCGGCCCACAGACTCCTACTAATCTATCACAAGCCCAACAAGCCCAAGGAGCTCAGGAGGCCCAAGATTCGGCGGCCCAAGCGTCAAGAAGCCCACAGTACACACAGGGATGCCTTCGGCCTCCTTGGCCGAAGGCTCTAAAACTCACAGAACCGCCATATTCGACCATGCGAAGCTACTGGGAGAAAACGACAGAAAATAGGAGCCTTCGGCACTGTGGAGCCCTCGGCACCAGGGGAAGCCCTCGGCTGAGCCAAGCCTTCGGCTACACAGGGAGCCTTCAGCCATACATGAAGCCTTCGGCCATACATGAAGCCTTCGGCCACACAGGGAGCCTTCGGCCATACATGAAGCCTTCGGCCACACAGGGAGCCTTCGGCCATACATGGAGCCTTCGGCCACACATGGAGCCTTCGGCCATACATCAAGCCTTCGGCCATACATCAAGCCTTCGGCCATACATCAAGCCTTCAGCCATACATGAAGCCTTCGACCATACATGAAGCCTTCGGCCATACATGAAGCCTTCGGCCATACATGAAGCCCTCGGCCATACATGAAGCCCTCGGCCATACATGAAGCCTTCGGCCACACAATGCCTTCGTCCACACAAAGCCCTCGGCTACGCGAGGAGCCTTCGGCTAAACGGACTCAATCATCGAAGATTCCCTTTGGAGACAGCCAACCACCGCATTTAATGCGACGTCACATCCACCCACCGCATTTAATGTGGGGAACGTGCGATGGTCGGTGCCACCCCGATTGATGTGACCCCTCGGCCGTTGGATTACTGACACGCGTACTCTCATCACATTTATTGCTGCTATAAATAGCAGCCCTTATTCTCCTTGTAAACCACGCTGAGTTCATTTAATAAATCGACTCTCTCTTCTCCTATTTTGCTCTGACTTCTCTCTAGTTATTCCCGCAATAACCCCTCGGATAAGATACCCCCCGGGTAGACTATCCATCATTTGGTGCTCTCGTTGAGAGGTTGAACACAATCAAGTGAGAAAACCTCCCCAAAATATCCAAAATTCATTCCAATCACAAAAAATCCATCCAAAAACAATCTGGAATTTCCCCCAAAAAAAATGGAACTGTCCAGGAGCTGTTCCTGCCGAATTGGAACTGGCTGGTCAACCGGAGCAGCTCAAAGTCAGATGAGGACCAGATCCGACCGTGTCCGGTGACTAGCGGCTCCCTTCCTCCTCCTCCGGCGTGGTCCCGCCGGGTGTCGCTCCTGCTCGTTCATCCACTCGTCATAGCATCCTCACCAGCCGTCACTCTCTGAACAAATACCCGCCAATCCGCCATTAATGGCGGACTGAAGCTCCTGGGAGAAAAGATGCACGCCCCCGACCTGAAAAGACGACTGGAATCGCACTTTCTGTTGAAGCTCGCTGGAACCCACCAAGTGTGTTTCCCGACTTCGCCGTCTCTCACACCTGTCACACAGAAACTCTCTTCCCAATGGCGACCCTCCCAAGCTCCCAGCCACTCCGCCGCCGCCCTAGTCGCCGTCGCGGCTCTAGGTAACCCCTATGACGGCCTCCAGAGTTGCTGGAGCTCCACTTGGAATGTCCGCCATTAATGGCAGTTGAAGGCTTTGGGAGTGGCAGATCTGAACTCCCCTGCTTTCCTAACTCGAGGAGTGCATCATTCCTCGTCGGGGATGAGAGAGCTGCGTCGGTGCTACCGGAGCTCTAGCATGCCGCCACTGGTCATTTTCGTTCTGCTGCCTGGTCCACCTGAGGAAGCTTAGCTTCGTCGCCGGTATAGTCTGGTAGAGCACCGTTTCCACCTTCCTCAATCATTGTAGGGATGGTCCCTGGACGAGCCACAGTACCAGTGTGATGCTTGGGTCCTGGTCACGTTGTTGTTGTTCCCTTTGCCAAAAGTGAAAGCTGGCATTAGGTCAGTAGGAGCTTTAGCAGGTCATGCGCTGGAAGGAAGGGATCTGTTCGAAAATCAAATTGGATCCCCAATCAAATTGGAGGCAGTGGAGGGATGGTCCAAATCTGCTGGAGCAGCCCAATTGGGAATAAAGGCCCAATTCCTTTTTCAGCCCGATCAGTCCAATATTTCAGCCCATCAGAAGATAAGCACTCTTCCATTTTATATTATTTATATTTATTTAAATAATTTCTTTTATCTGTTAAATGTCACGCTATCACGCACTTATGATCAAATACCTAGTAGAGTGTGGCTTGAGACCCATCACTAGGATTTAAAGCCCTGACCTCTCAGGCACAAAGCCCTGGCCCTGACCCAGGCACAAAGCCCTGACCTCTCAGGCACAAAGCCCTGGCCCTGACCCAGGCACAAAGCCCTGACCTCTCAGGCACGAAGACCGGTCTTAGTCATTCCTCGAGTGGCGACCGTTGCTTATGAATGGCTCACACATCCATTCTACTAAGTATTTTATCGTTACATTAACAATTCACATCTTCACTTGTTTCGAGTGACGAACTCCCGATCGGGAACATAAATCCCAAGAGAAAAAAATTTATATGTATGATAAATGTGTAGGTACGAAGATGACTTTACTCATTTTCACCTCGTCTCCACTCGCCTCAAGGAGTGGGGACTGGGGGACTGAGGGGTCAGAGTTTCTAGATGAGCAGAAAACATCACGCAAGAGCAGGAACGAGAGCTGAATCAGTTGAAGAGGACTGAGCTAGATTGATTATGCCGGAGGGGATTTACCTTCCTTGTTTCATGTTGGGGGCGCTAGGTGTACTCTTTTTCCCTTTATTAGGATTTTTTCCCACAGGGTTTTTCCTAGTAAAGGTTTTTAACGAGGCACCTCCCCATCATTGACAAGGGTGGTGGTCCCCCGGCCAAAGAGGAAGAACGTTGCAGCTACAGTTTGGACTACTCCCTTTCACCTCGAG